AATATGTGGCTTTCTATCAGTCATCCTTCTTGATCCAGCGCACTTCATCAGCTTATCCTGCCATCGATCTGGAGACCGTTTACTGTCGCATGGAATCCAGTCTAACGTGTCTCTGGTTCTGAGATGGTCGGTTCTTCTTAGAACGTGTCTTACCCTTGGCCGTATTAACTTTTTTACTTGGGCAGTGACGTCGCAGACTCTTATTTGTGCTTTGACTTGTTAATTCATGTTTAAATATTGTAAAATAAATAATTCAGCACTGTGACTAAGTACAGCATCATTATCTTCTTTAACTTGATATTCGGTCGATCATCAGTCATGTGATCAAGATGTCAGAGTTAAGGCGTTTTGGAAAACGATTTCTCCGAAAGTTACGTGGCAGGCAAACAGAGAGGTTTCATACGCAGGCTAAAGGCCGCAGCATTATGAACATTCTTGAAAATGTCGCGCTGCAAAACTACAGGCCATAGGCTTCTTTCATCGACGGCGAATCCGAGACTATTGGAAAAGCATCCTGAAAATGCTGCCAAGCAACCCAAAAAATAGCGGTCTGTAAAAACGAATGCATATGTGCTTGAAACTGTGCACCGAAGCTGGTCTAATAAAGTAAATTATGAAACGAAATGGATTCTCAGGACAGAAGGCGCCATCATTTACACTGCGCTTCGCAAAGTAGCCCAGAGACTGTGAAGCAGATTTTACCAGCCATTAATTCGGAACTGCAACACCAAAATAAGAAATGCCAGTATTCCTCGCACATACATGATGTGGCCATTTGTGATGCCCTTGTTTTCATGAAGTTAATGGCGGGAATTTGATACCCATTTCCATGCCATCAGCCAGAAGTGCCTTATTTTAAAGACAGAGTTGACGGCAGCTGTGGCAGGTATGAGTCCGACGCTCGACCAAATCTCAGTCCGCAGCGGCGCTAAGAGTGACATGCTAGCTGTAAGAAATTCTGGTGCTCAGTTTTCGCAGTAATCGACGTTTCGTCGACGATAAATTCTGGCAACGATAATAGTGAATTCTCAAAATTCCATCGAGGCGCACACGCAGTGGCTTTCTTTTTAAACCATGAAGAATGAAAAGGGGCTCATTCACTGCTTGCATGATGATAAAAATTTTCGTTAGAAGTGTACCATACAAGACTATAGTGATTTGCGGTTTGCATGTAGGAACTAGTGTTTCGCGACCTTGAAGGGAAGATCATTCAACGAGCCGATCGGCACGGGGAAGTAACGCAGGTTTGAAGC